GGCAGACGGGTTCTTTACCACTGAGCCACCAGGGAAGCCTTCTGAATTCTATATCATTTGAAAATAGTCCCCAAGCAATTTCTTATCTTAAAAAAAAAAAAGCTATACCAAAATTATGTAAGAACTTTGCATAGAAGGAACCAGTACAATGTTTTATCCAGTGGCATTATATGATGGTGTTTATTATATTTGATTGATTGGGTCTCTGGAAAGCTCTATCCTGTGCAGAACATTGGGTGCTAATTGTAGTTGATTGACATGGTGCTGTGTCCAGGATTGGCAAGAACCCCCCGGGGTTGGACTCTTGGGCTGCTTCTAGGCAGGGGTGATCTGGTATGATTTTCAGGACAGTAATTTGGTAGTATGTTTCGAAAGCCCTAAAAATCTGCTTCCCTTTCTGTTGTTCATAAAGAAATGGACAGATATTTGGCCGGGACTCCTCACCCCCACATCCCCAGTCTTCTGCTGCTGCAGGAGGGAGGTGTGCTCTGGGAACACTCCACACAAGCCTTGGCTTTTGTACTGATTTTTGGTCACAGACCCCTGCATGGACCCTCCAGGCCTACTAAGCTGGGCTGGAGCTTTGGGGAGCCACAATGCTCATTTTGTACCTCGGTGCTAACACTTATCCCTATACTGACCACCTTCACCTTTGTCCTCAAGGCCCATCTTCTAATCTTGGTCCTAAAGGATTCACCACCTAAGAGCAGGAAGAAACAAGGAAAGACAAGCCCAAAAGAAAGAGAATATTCCTTCCTAAATTCTTGAGAAAAACTGGCTAAAGCTAGCCCACTCCTAGACCTGTCCAGGGCCTGTGACAACGACAGGTCCCAATAACAGGCAGTTCCACATCCATTATGTTATCTCAACTTGAAAAAAGACCCCAGAAGCCTCTGCCCTTCATTTTCTTCCTGGAGTAGTATCCCTATCTTCTGAGAAGCCCATATGTGGGAGCTTTCATGTTCTTACAGAGCCTGTCCTCCTGGCTTGGCTGGTTGGTCCGGGAGTAGGTACCTGATGGGGAAGTGCTGATATACTTGACTCCCTGGGCCCTGTTTCCTCTGAGGCTCAGCAGTGACCCTGCCCTTCCCATGGTTGGGTTACACGCCCTTCTTTTGATTACCCGAGATATACTCCAGTGTTCTTCCAATTGACTCCCTTTTTGCTTAAAGTAATCTGAAATGCATTTCTAATACAGCAGCCTGGGGCCTAAAGAACAGAGGCCCCTAAAGTAGAGCCTAGACAGAGCAGCCCTACATGGACACCAGAGGTTCACACCTGTCGTCACCCAGAGCCTTTCCTCTTAGCACCATGTCCTGATAGGATTTTTCTGGATCTGTGTCAGCCATTCCGCTCCTGCTCTTCCTTTCCAAGGGGCCTTGCAGGGGAAGCTTTGCATTCTCTCTGATGGTAGGAGAGTGTAGAACCTTAGTGAGTCCATGTTCTAGGATTTTAACCTCAGGAGATAGTTGGAAATACACACACATATTTAACTATGAAAGTCTTAGGGTTGCATTGTTCATAACTGTAAAAAAAAAAAATTGGAAATAGTCTAAATGTCTAATAATGGTTAAAAGAATTATGGTCCATCCTTGTACTAGGATACTTTGCAGCTATTAAAAATGTTATCTTGAAGAATATACATAATGACATGGAAAAGTGCTAATAATATAATATGTGAAAATCATGATATAAAATTTAATATACTTTATAATCTCAATTATATCAAATACTACTATGGATTCATAGTCAAAGGCCAAAAAGAACCACACAAATGCTATTAACTGCTTTTTTCTAGTCATGTATAAATTCTTCACTGTCTTTTCATGTATAGGCTTAAATATTTTTATTTTGTTCATGATATATCTTATGTGTATCTATGTTGATAATGCAGTTCTTTTTAAAAAATATTTACTTTTGGCTGTGCTGGGTCTTCGTTGCCACTCTCAGGCTTTTTCTAGTTGCAGTGAGCAGGGACTGCTCTCTATTGCAGTGCACAGGCTTCTCATTGCAGTGGCTTCTTGTTGTGGGGCATACGGGCTCTAGGCACATGGGCTTTGGTAGCTGTGGCATATGGACCCCATGCTCCACGGCGTGTGGGAGCTTCCCGGAGCAGGGATTAAGCCCGTGTCCCCTGCATTGTTGGGCAGACGTTTAGCCTCTAGACCACCAGGGAAGTCCTGGTAACACATTTCTGTAGTGTGAGTCAGGGTGTTATGTTTAAATTCTTTTTATAACATTTAGCATAGCTTTAAGTTAATAAAAAAATAACTTTCAGAATGGTTATGATGATGACAACTTCAGAACTGTACTGCAAGTATAATTTTCTTAAAAAAAAATAAAGAACCAAAAAAAGAATCACACAAAAATAACTTTATATCTTCATTATGTTTTCTGTTTTCTGAATTGTCTATGGTGGGCATGTTTTACTTTTTAAATCTAGTATTAGGTTGGTGAAAAAGTAATTGTGGTTTCAAGCTGTGAATTTTAAATCATTATAAGTAGGTGCAAACACATCTTTAATCAAAATAGGGCCCACTACAATCAACACATTTTTGCCAATGAGAAATAATTTCATTTATTCCTATAGCATAAAAATCCATACTTCAGAATTCAATTCCTGCTAATTGTGGAAACATTTTCCTGCAAAAAGTTGTCAAGATGCTTGAAGAAGTGGCAGTCAGTTGGTGAGAAGTCAGGATAATATGGCGGATGAGGCAAAACTTTATAGCCCAATTCACTCAACTTTTGAAGTGTTGGTTGTGTAATGAGTGGTCGGGTGTCACGGTGAAGAATTGGGCCTATTCTGTTGACCAATGCCAGCTGCAGGCGTTGCAGTTTTCAGTGTATCTCATCAATTTGCTGAGCATGCTTCTCAGATGTAATGGCTTTGCTGGCATTCAGAAAACTTTAGTGGATCAGACGGGCTGCACACCACCTAACAGTGACCATGACCGTTTTCTGAGGCAAGTCTGGCTTTGGAACTTCTTCTTTGTCCAACCACTGAGCCGGTCATCACTAGTTATCCTGTATAACCCACTTTTTGTCACACATCACAGTCTGATTGAGATATGGTTTGTTGTTGTTGCATTGAATAAGAGCAGATGACACTTCAAAATGACAATTTTTTTAAATTTGAAATCGGCTCATGAGGCATCCACTTACTAGCTTCCTCACCTTTCTAACTTGCTTCAAATGCTGAACAACCATAGAATGATTGATGTTGAGTTCTTTGGCAACTTCTTGAGTGGTTGTAAGAGGATCAGCTTCAATGAGCCTCTCAGTTGGTCGTTGTTACCTTCTGATGGTCAGCCACCGTTCGTCTTCAAGGCTCTTGTCTCCTTTGCAAAACTTCATGAACCACCACTGCACTGTACATTCATTGGCAGTTCCTGGGCCAAATTCATTGTTGATCTTGCAAGTTGTCTATGCTGTTTAATGACCCATTTTGAACTCAAATAAGAAAATCACTCTAATTTGCTTTTTGTCTAACATCATTTCCCTAGTATAAAATAAATATAAAATACATAGCAAGTAATAAGTCAAAGAAAAAGACATAAAGTGAAAAATGCACATTAAAATGATGTATAACATAACCATATTTATTTAAGAATGTATTCCAATATCAAACAGCAAAGTTCAACAATGTAAAACCAGAATTACTTTTGCACTAACCTAATATTATACTTTATTATTTTTCATTAAATTAGAATATCTTTTCCTATAGAAAAGTTTTATTTTTCTCTCTGGTGTTTGCTCTAAACCTTTGACAGCTACATAGCCACCAGGAACTAGCCATAGAATTCTCTCCAAAGCACCTGTTCTCAGGTCACTTGCGTCCCTGAAATGCTGCACCTGGCTGGCTCAAGAGGCTGCAACCCCACCCCCAAAGCAGGATTATTCCTTTAGTAGCTGGTGGTTTTTAACACCAAACTAGTAACCAGTCTTTCCCATGATCTTTCTGCAATCCCAAAATGACCCCAGGTTTTGGTAATTCAGCAGATTCTATTAGCTGCCTTTTTCCAGCTCTTGTTCAGTCAAGATAGGGAGCCTACAGACTCCTGGGTTCCACAGAGGGGGCAGCAATTAAGAAGCCCAAGTCTGAGATTCAGGACAGGCTTTTGCTTGTAGTTACAAATGTGCGGTTTTAACAAGAAACACAAAGGTCAAGGATCAAAGGTTCCTGACCTCCCTGTGCTGACTGCGGGCTTGGACAAGCCTCTATTCGAAGCTCTTTGCCACCTGTCCACAGGCACAGGTGATGATGCAGGGGAAACAATCTCGGACACCTTTCATGACCCAGACTGTCTGTTCTATTCATCCCATGCAGTGTGACTAATAAGAGTGAACCCTTGTCATGTACCAGACACAGTTCTAAATGTTTTATATATGTTAACTCATTTCATCTTTAAGGCAACCCTGCATGGTGGGTTCTGTCATCATCATTACAGCACCATCATCATCTATTTTTAGTAGATGGGAAAGCTGAGGTACAGAAAGGCCAAATGCACGAACCTGGGGCTTCTAGAGATAGGGATTCCAACCCCACTGAACTGGTTATAGAATCTGGGCCATTAACTCTTCTCTTTTGCCTCTCTGTGAGGTGAGTTCTGCCATTCTATCTTCTGCCTTCCTTCCAAACCTGGCCAGAGGTGGTCAGTCAAACACCGTGACTCACCAACAAAACAGCAAAGTGAATGAATCACCCCTCCCCTCCCCTTAGCTGCCTCAGGGATCCCTGCCCCACCATTCTCCTCCTCCTTCAATTATGCAAAGAGGGCAGCCGCCAGGACAAGTCAATGGGCCCCCCTCCTGAAGTGAGAAAGCACTATAATTCTTTGCTGGTTTGGGGAAAAAGAAGAAAATACAACATCCATCACTTAATGAACACACTCTGCACATGCACACGTGTATAAGTTAACTCATTTGGTTTTCAACACCCCCCCTTTTTTTTATTGTGCTAAATGGTTTTATTAGAGAAAGCCGAGATTATAGCAGACTCAAGAACTGGCATTGGGGCCCTTCTTGCCAAAGGTGGGTGCAACCTTGACAAAGCCCTGATTGTACTGTGTAATGCCTCTTGGCCCGGCCAGTGCTCTTTTTCTCTTGTTTGGCCACCTTGGAAGTCTGACCTCTTACTTTACCAGCACAGGCCAGAGATCCATGGACTTTACCTCCAAGCATGTGGCCGGCTGCTTCTAGAGTGCTCAGAGCTTTACCCCACATTGGCCTAGGATAGCCTCATCCTCTAGGGAGGATGTCAGGAGCAGGACTTGATCTCCTGGAGCGACACTCTCCGACAAGGCTACATGAGCCTTGATCTGGGCGAGCGACTCTTGGCCAGTCACCTGGAGAGTGTATAGTTCCTGGGTGTGGACAAAGAGCTTCATGTTGCTGACTAGATCAGACACTGCTGCCACTGTCTTGAAAGATGGAGTTGAGAAAGCATAACCTGTGTTATTTAACTGGGGTAAAATTACTTTACAATCCTGTGTTCATTTCTGCTATACAATAACATGAATCAGCTTTAAGTATACATATATCCCCTGCCTTTTGAGCCACCCTGCTCCCCACCATCCCACCCCTCTAGGTCATCACAGACCACCAAGCAGAGCTCCCTGTGTTATACAGCTGCTTCCTGCTAGCTAACTGTTTTACACATGGTGAGTGAAGTGAAGTGAAAGTCACTCAGTCGTATCCGACTCTTTGCGACCCCATGGACTATACAGTCCATGGAATTCTCCAGGCCACAATACTGGAGTGGATAGCCTTCCCCTTCTCCGGGGGATCTTCAAAATCCCAGGGATCAAACCCAGGTCTGCCGCATTGCAGTCAGATTCTTTACCAGCTGAGCCCCAAGGGAAGCCCAAGAATACTGGAGTGGGTAGCCTATCCCTTCTCCAGCAGATCTTCCCAACCCAGGAATCGAACCAGGGTCTCCTGCATTGCAGGCGGATTCTTTACCAACTGAGCTATCAGGGAAGCCCCCAAAATGATGTAGATTTATGTTAATACACAAAAAAGTGCCCATACTATATTGTTAAGTGAAATTTGTATGTTGTAGAATAATCCCATTTTTGTTAAAAAGCAGCACACATATATATATATATATATATATATGTAGAAAGATATAACTAATGTGCTAAATTTTGATGATGAATAAGTATGGCTTCTGTGATAAGAATTTTATATTTTAAATTAGTTTTTGAAGCCTCCAAGAATCTCTGCTTGGCTTCCAAAGGCATGCATGCCCTTGACCTTCCCTGCGTCCTCACAGAACCTGTTAACAGTGAGATTTATCAGAATGCAGTTATACCAGCCAGGGATGGAAACCATGCCAGCCTTCCCTCTCCCAGCTCAGCCCAGCCTCATCTTTATCACCACTGGTAGAGCAGGCTTTGCCCATGGTTCTTAAAACTACATTAGGCTTGGTGCAAGGAGTGGAAATGAGAAATGGGCTTTTCCATGAAGACTTGGTCCTAAAACAGGTGGCGATGATGGAAAGATATTCCTTGGAATTTTCCAAGTCCCAGGTTCTGGCCCAGTGTACTTTTAAGTCATTGGATGACAGCATTTGCAGAAACTCCTGCTATGAAATACTGCTTTTAAACTCTCCCCTCAGCTGCCCAGTCTCAGAAATGGTACATTTCTAACATTGTGTATTTAATGAGACATTTAAAGTGATGCTAGTCTAAGAAAGCAGCATGGTCTTGGTCCTCTCCCTACAGAGACTGGATATTTCACTCCCATAATTACGGGATATTGCTGGTATTTCCATTGCTCCAGGAACTGGGTTTTCAAACTCGGAGCAGAAACTGTCTCAGAAGAGTTTTTCTCCGAAGGTGTGCCACCAGAAACACGTTTCCATCTCCTCTTCTCGTTTCAGTCTTTTCCTCTGATACTTTTCCCCCCTTAATTCTACTACCTTTAAGAGAGACACTCAGATGCTGGCTTTTCTGTTACACTTTACTGGATTGCCATACGCTGTCTTGGTTGGAGTCCCTTGGACACATCCCTTCCCAGGGCCCAAGACCCACCCCATGACCCCAACAAGTACGTACCCCTTTATAATGAGAACTCGCTTTGATGGTCAGCTGGTCCCTGAGAGACTGAAAGCTGTACGCCTTCAGGGCCAAGCTGGGCAATAACCCTTGGTTATAAGACAGAAGCTTTGGTTTAGCCATCGATGAATGCTGTATGTAAAATGCAAATGTCTTTTAACTCTACCTTTAAACAGTTGGTTTTTTCCCTTCTTCTATGACTCTTAGAAGGTGGAATTTTATTTTATTTTATATTTTTGTTGAAGTATAGTTGATTTATTGTGTTGATTACTGCTGTACGGCAAAGCGATTTAGTTATATATGTGTGTGTGTGTGTGTATATATACACTAGTGCATATATATATATATATATATATACACACACATATATATAAAAATACACTAGTGCCCAGGTGGCACAGTGGTAAAGAACCCACCTGCCAATGAAGGAGACATTAGAGATGTGGGTTCAGTCCCTGGGTTGGGAAGATCCCCTGGAGGAAGGCATGGCAACCCACTCCAGAATTCTTGCCTGGAGAATCCCATTGACAGAGGAGCCTGGTGGGCTACAGTCCATAAGGTTGCAAAGAGTTGGACATGACTGAAGCAAATTAGCACAGCATATATATGTATATATGTGGTTTATCATAGGATATTGAATATACTCCTCTGTGCTATACAGTAGGACCTTGTTTGTCCATTCTATATACAAAAGCTTATATCTGCTAACCCCAGCTCCCCACTCCCTCCCTCCCTCCCCCTCTTCCCTCTTGACAACCACCAGTCTCTTCTCTGTGTTTGTGACTGGGTCTGTTTTGTAGATAGGTTCATTTAGATCATATTTTAGATCCCACATATGAGTGATACCACGTGACATTTGTCTTTCTGACTTCACTTAGTATGACAGTCTCTAGTTGCATCCATATTTATGCATATCTCATTATTTCATTCTTTTTTATAGCTGAGTAGTACTCCATTGTGGGAGAAGGAAATGGCAACCCACTCCAGTATTCTTGCCTAGAGAATCCCGTGGATGGAGGAGCCTGGTGGGCTGCTGTCCATAGGGTTGCACAGTCGGACACAACTGAAGTGACTTAGCAGCAGCAGCAGTCCATTGTATGTATACCACATCTTCTTTATCCATTCCTCTGGTGATGGACATTTAGGTTGCCTCCATGTCTTGGCTATTGCGAATAGTGCTGCTATTAACATAGGGGGTGACTGTCTCTTTTTGAGTTATAGTTTTGTCTGGATATATGCCTAAGAATGGGATTGTTGGATCATATGATAATTCTATTAACTAATTATTAACTAATTTTGTTAGTGTTCTGAGGAACCTCCATACTGTTTTCAACAGTGGCTGCACCACCTTATAGCCCCACCAACAGTGTAGGAGGGTTCCCGTTTCTCTACATCTTCTCCAGCATTTGTTATTTGTAGTCTTTTTAATGATGGCCTCTCTGACTGGTATGAGGTGATACCTCATTGTAGTTTTGATTTACATTTCTCTGGTTAGTGATGTGGAGCATCTTTTTTTTTCATGTGCCTCTTGGCCATCTGTATTTTTATCCAAAAGTCTACAAGCAATAAATATTGGAGAGGGTGTGGTGAAAAGGGAATCCTCTTACACTGTTGGTGGGAATGCAAACTAGTACAGCCACTATGGAGAACAGTGTGGAGATTTCTTAAAAAGCTGGAAATAGAACTGCTATATGACCCAGCAATCCCACTCCTGGGCATACACACCGAGGAAACCAGAACTGAAAGAGACACGTGCACCCCAATGTTCATTGCAGCACTGTTTATAATAGCCAGGACATGGAAGCAACCTAGGTGCCCGTCAGCAGACGAATGGATAAGAAAGCTGTGGTACATATACACAATGGAATATTACTCAGCCATTAAAAAGAATGCATTTGAATCAGTTCTAATGAGGTGGATGAAACTGGAGCCTATTATACAGAGTGAAGTAAGCCAGAAAGAAAAACACCAATACAGTATACTAATGCATATATATGAAATTTAGAAAGATGGTAACGATAACCCTGTATGAGAGACAGCAAAAGAGACATAGATGTATAGATCAGTCTTTTGGACTCTGTGGGAGAGGGCAAGGGTGGGATGATTTGGGAGAATGGCATTGAAATATGTATATTATCATATATGAAATGAACCGCCAGTCCAGGTTCAATGCATGAGACAGGGTGCTCAGGGCTGGTGCACTGGGATGACCCAGAGGGAGGTGGGAGGGGGTTCAGGATGGGGAACACATGTATACCCGTGGCAGATTCATGTCCAGTATGGCAAAACCAATACAGTATTGTAAAATAATTAGCCTCCAATTACAAGAAATAAATTTATATTAAAAAAAGAAAAAAGGATTTTTTTAAAAAAATGGTTGACTTGTGTTTAGATAGGCAGTCCCTGAACCTCTGACCACTTTTAGTAACAGGAAAAGCTACATTCAGTTGGCCTCATGTAAAGAGAGGGGCCAGGAGTCATCTCCCCGGGTGGCCGAGGGAAAGGGAGCGACCAGTGTCCCACCCCGACACTGCTGTTGCACCTACCGAGATGCTTGAACTCTCATCCTTTCTTCAGCGTCAACTCTTGTGAGCTCTGTCTGCGCTGGGGAGAGAACGTCCCCTTGGCTCTCTCCACTTGCTCAGTACCTCCCTCCACCGTTTCTTGCCAGATCTCCAGAGGTGTCCTACCTTGTGGGTCTGAGTTTCCAGTTAACTGTCCACTCCTTACAGGTAAATACACCTGCTTTTAGTGCCATCTCTGGAACCAGACAAATGGGTCCTTTTTTATTGCCATCTCTGGAACTAGGCAAATGGTCCTTAGTCAAGAAGGACACACAAGGCTCCTGTGTCCTTCTTCCTAAGTGCTTCAAAAAGAAGTAAAACCAAGTTATCAAAACTCAGTCATGTACCCTGAGTACAATGTGTCACCTTAAATCTTCCCTTTTCTCTCAAATCCAACATAGCCTCAGGCCAATAATAAAATCTTGGGCTAATACATTGAGTAAGTTACTGTGTTTTGTTTTTTTCTCCCTCGCTGGTAGTTCATATTTTTATGCACACACACACGCCCACCTCCACCCTAGGCCGTGTGTCTTCATTGTCTTAGAAAATGCACACATGTCCAGACAGTACAACTTCTTACCAATCCCTGCACTTTCCCATAGACTAGAAAAGATCCCCTGACCTAAAGTGGGGTCAAAACGATGGAAGGAAAGTGATGAAGTTGGTGGGTTTCAGATGGCTCGGGGCTCTGCTTCCCTGGCAAGATCTCTGAGTGGGAAACCACTGCAGAGGTGTCTCTGGCAGGCAAAGGCCTTTGATGACTTC